AAATTGTATGTGAATAGGTTATCAGAAATAGATTATGTTCAGAATAGAATTAGCCACAATATTCAATATGAATGACTCATTAGTCCAAAAAATAAAAAATAAGTAAACAAACAAACAGGTGATACATGTGATTGATGTTAGTGCTGAATGTTTTTGAGACATTTAAAGTTTATTGATCGATTTTTAATCAATGTACTTTTACTAGGATATTTCATCATGTGCATGGATGATGTTGGTTCTGTAGGGTTTTTAGCTAAATTGGATAATTTAAGTGGGTTTATGACAAATTTCCGGGGTTTGGTTTTTGGGTATAGAGGTCAGCTACGTTGGCATAGTTTGAATCTTCAATCAGCACTCATAACAGTATAATATAAAACCAACACATCCAGTGGCTACTGTTTCAATTTAGTATTGCTGAGTTTCTGTCAATAATTTGTGTAATCTTATCTGTTATTTTAGGTAGATCGTGGAAATAATTTATGTGTAGTCTCTGTTGTTTAAAGCTTGCCTGGTCAGTGCGTTTGGATTTCAGTAACGGGTTGGACAGGAGATTACTAAAGCTTGCTAACAATCACTCACAGGAAAGTGACCAATATAAGGCTATATAGTATTACTAGGTTCTTGTGGAACACATAACGTAAAATGTGGTTAGTAAATCAAGTAGAAAGACATCAAATTAACTTGTAATTAGTGCAACTATGCGAAAGTGGTCGGCAACTTCAATTTTTTTCTGTTGGTTTTCACAATAAGAAGTTGCACACTAGATAAGTGAAGACGTAGTTCAGTGTGTTGTAAACAGTTTGATAATCTTACCATATCGAGCAATAGCAGTCAAAATAATACATATTATTCCTCAATTATAGTTAATTAGTCAGTCAGTCAGATGCATCGTAGGACTTCGTACGTAAGTACATCAGTCATGTCGCCATACCACATCAGCACTGAGATGTAATTGTCAATTCAAATCCAATAGTAGAAGAGGTAGTAAAGGTATTAAAAGTAATCGGAGAGGTTAGGATTAGAAGATATTATTGAAGAAGTATGTGATTCAGTGAGAAAAGTTTAGAAAGTCAAAACTAGAGGGTTGAAGATTAGGATTTGAGAGAACACAAAGAATAAATGCACCGGCGCCATCGCGAACGATTTTGAGCCATGTCATTCAAGGTCTCTAACCATCCATTGTTATCATCTCGCGGACCCCAAACACGTAGTCCACAATTACCGACATGGCTAAGTCCACTCGTCAATGACTTCATGGATTTCTGCAATGTTTTGGTTTGGCCACCCCTAACTTTCTTCCAACCTACTCCTCCTACACTACAAAACAAAGCTCTTCGAGGCAGTCGGTGGTTAGGCATACGCAACACATGTCCCAACCACCTCAACTGATGAAGTTTCATTACTTCATCTATTGATCTGCCATTCTTACCTAGCACCCGATTCCTAATAACAGCGTTGCTCAATCGGGTGTACCAGGATATACCAGCAATGTTTCGAAGACACTTATGATCGAAAACCAGTAACCAACGAATATCTTCTACCCTCACTGGCCATGTTTCACAGCCATAAAGTAAGACGGAGCGAACTGCTGCGCAGTACACTCGTCGTTTAGTCAGCAAACGGATATCTCGCCTACGCCATAAGTGACGCAGTACACAATTAATTGTGTATATGATTGTGTGTATGATTTTTTACATAGTATGTTGTGCAGTTTATTAAATCATAAATATATCAGCTATGTTTTAGATAGGTGCGCTATCATGGCTAGGTGACTGTAGGATCTTCGTCTCTGATTTCTTTTCGAAATCGAGAATGGTGGATAGGCAACTCAGTTATCAATCTTACTTTGCTGTAGTGACCTTGATAATAAGTGTTGCATACGCAATTCTTTGCCAGGCGACTCGAATGACCTGTATTCAGTCAGTCAATTTTGTTTTAAGATTCATGAAACTATAGCATTAATATTATACTTTTAAATAATTGTTTTTAAGTTCTTAGTTGTTTATACTGGGATATTCTTATATTCAACCCATAAACATTCACATTATTTTTAGCCTATAAATATAATCTCTGATAGTCCTTACTGTTCTTTCATTAATATTTACCTATGAGAACTTTTCCAATTTTAGCGAATAAAGTATGCTTACCGACTTCTTTTTTAAGTGATTAGTACAATTATGTTTAAAATGTAAGCAGCCAACGAAAAATCGTGAAATTAAATTAATTCATGTTATTCTACTACGTTATTTACTTCTGTTTTATTAAAGCTAGTTTGTAATTTAATCATAGTGTGAAGTGTGTCCAGCTATAATTAAGGAAGAATTTTCCTATGTTCTACTAGATATCATAACTACTGGTGAACTTTGGTAATAATGACAATTTTCAAGGCACAGAAATTGAAAGTAGACCGGTGAATATCAGATAGGAAACAATGCATCAATAACTGGGCTGAATTTCTAATCACGTGATTCTTTTATCTAAATGACAAATATGGTAAGTATTGATTAATGCCGAAAAAACCGGCTGTAAATTAAAACAAGGTATTGTAGCAGCGAAAAGCAGTTGTGTAGGTGTGATCATTCGGAATTTCATGTGTTACTATTAAGCCGAAACAATGTAATAGGAATTAAAAGTAATTTACCGGCCTTAAAACATTTTAGTTCAGGCCGAGGCATACGTAGGAACCTGGGCTCATCCATCATGTCAACACGAAGGAAGATCTAATATTGAATATTTTACTAGTGACAAGCTCAGTCAGTTAGAACGTAGAATTTCGTACGTACATACACCAGTTCAGGTGGCCATACTACATTAGCAGAAACAAAATTGTCAATCCAAATCCCATAATAGTAAAAGTAGTAGAAGTATTGGCAGTACTCGGAGAGATTACGGTTCAAAGATATAATTCAGTGAAATAAATTTAGAAAGCGAAGGATAGAGGTGATGAGGAATTCAGATCAGAATTTGAGAGAAGGCAAAGAGTGGATGCATCTGTGTCATCGCAGAACGATTTGGAGCCATGTCGTTTAAGGTCTCTAGCGAAGAACTAAGGCCCGAGTAGTCAATATACTTAGGTAAAGTGGTTGGTCAATTGATGAGTTGCTGGCAAAAATTCCTATCTCAGTATCGCAACTCCGTAGACTGTTAACATCTGTTAAGATTTAGTGTAGGTCCACTCGAGTACTCTTGGTGACATTTGCTTGACCTATGTGATATGTCATGATGGAATGAAAGTTTAATGTCTTTAGGAAAGATTTAGGCTAGAAATGTTGAACGCTAAAAAAACTATTAGTAATAGCTTTTGTATGAAGCGGAAACGGAAACCTTTGCAGCTTGGGTTAGAGATTTTGATGATCTGGTAGGGCTATTTTGTATGAGGTATCTTAAGACGGCTAAATTAACTGGTCTCATTAATTCTAAACACTGTTAATAACTTCGAGGATCACGACATGTCATGGTTAATTGTTCCTCACAGGTTAACCGAGAAACACTAGACTGAGGAGGAATTATACATAGGCAAATGTGAGTATATAGTGGTTGCGAGTCGAGGTTGACTATGATCACCAGTACAGACCAATCACGTTCCATTTACTAGGTATAATGCCTCCGTGAAACGAAGACAAGGAAGAAGATCGGATCCAGATATGCACGTATATTTGGTGGTGATTTTGCGGTATCGAAAGAATACCGAGAGTGTGCCAAGGATATGGGCGAAACTACCGCAAGCAGGATAACCAAGTTGGAAGCGACACGAACGGAAAGTGTGTGTAGAGAGTACGAATAGACAGAGAGCACAGTAAAACAATCACTGGTACAATTAGTTACAATAATAACTGTTCCTATTAAACCAATCGCGTTCTCTTCATAAAAGTGGAGTCACTACAAGTTTACAAATTGATCGTTCTTAGCGGTGATCAAGGCACTGATAGGTAGGCATTATTGGACCAGTAATACTAGTTAAATGTGTAGACATGAGTGACTAATTGATTTACGGCAGGAGTCAGTCAAAAGCAATATAAAGCCTGTAGCAAGATGTGCATCGGCTCAAGTCAATGCCTTACATCAGAAGTTCAGCTAATATGTCGATGAACACTTGTAGAGGACCGCTCTCATACAGACAGATACAACGCAGAATTTCGTACATAGAAACATCAGTTCAGGTTGCTATACCACGTCAGCACAGACGCAACTGTCACTTCAAATCCAACAGTAATAGCGATAGTAGAATTAGGAGCAGCAATGGAGAAGATTAGTGAGCGAAGATATGATTTGAGAAGTATAATTCAGTGAGATAAATTTAGAAGGAGAAAGGTAGAGATTATGAGGAATGCAGAAGATTAGAATTAGAGAGAAGACAAAGAGTGGATGCACCTGCGCCCGCCATTGCAAACGATTAGGAGCCATGTCGTTCAAGGTCTCTAACCATTGGTAACTTTCGTCTCGCGGACCACAACCACGTAGCCTACATCTACCAACATCACTCAGTCCACTTGTCAGTGATTTCATGGATTTGTGCCATGTTTTGGTTTGGCCGCCCCTAACTTTCTTCCAACCTACTCTTACACCACAAAACATAGCTCGTCGCGGCAGTCGGTGGTTAGGCATATGTAACCATGTCCCAACCACTTCACCTACTAACTTGGCATCCCTACCAAGAACTCGTTTCCTAACGACAGCATTACTTATACGGTTGTCCCATGATACTCGATCAATGCTACGGAGACACCGATGATCGAAGACTAGTAACCTACGAATGTCCTCTACTCTTAACGGCCATGTTTCGCATCCGCTCTTATAGTTTACTAATTAACTGGCTGAATTATTTTGAAGGAACACACAAGGAACTGAAATTATTGGTTAGTTGATGAGATCGCAAATTTGAATGCAACTAGAGCCTTCGTGAAATTAATTGTCTGTGAAATATACATTTTTACAGTACAGAGAGACTAAGCAGTCAAAGATACTGTTTTCTTTCTTACAAGTAAAAAGTTTTGGAAATTATCTGGAAAATTTATTGCGTACAAGTATTTTACTATGACGTACACATGCAAGGAAATGATTAGTCAATGATTTGATGAAAATGAACAAAAGGTTATTTCATAAATGTTCAGACGCAAAGCATGAAAAGATAAGGTACGAGTACATATCTATTTAATAATTAATGTTTCACAAAATATTCAAACAATTATCATTGAATCCAAATAAACTTCAGCTGAAAGGTTACAACTAATTAATATAAGTGACGAAAATTTCTGTGATTAAGAAGGTAATGAACAAAAAATGACTCAATGAAGATGAGACTAAAGGAATTGACGTTAGTGTTTGTAGTGAAGTTCGATAATATTGTGGTGATTATTGTCATTTAGATATATTATCTCATCACATCATTAACAAAGCAAACCATTTAATCATCAAAATCAGTAATACTTGGCACCATAACTATTGGTTTTGTCTCTGCATCTTCTAGTCTGACAACACGAAGTGTGTTTGTGGAACCGGAACCAGCTTTCCAACCAGTGACGATGATTACATAGCGCCCTTGAGTGAAAAATAAGCGCTTTTTACCATAATCAATAGCATAACGAATTCTACGGTCCATATCTTCATACCATTCACTAGCCCGTGGTTCTAAAAATACATAAAATCAAAATCACATGTATCTACTGTCATTAAATAAAATAAATTTATATGAATGTTTGATTATTATGATAATAAAATGCTGTTGATCATTTATTTACATACAACAACTTACCGCCATAATGCAGAGGATGGACACCACGATAAAGGTGACCTTGACGAGCAGTAACTTCATGACGTGTCACAGTGAGAATTGGGCAACGAGGTCTATGACGGGAGATCAGATGGCATGAACTATCAAACAAAACAAGAGAATCAACCGAGATGAATATGTTAAACTTATAGAATTAAAGTATATATGTCAACATTGTAGAATCAAGGAAGTAGGTTGCAGATAAATGCCTTCTAGATTTAGGTAACGAGAAGAATTAATAAAATTTATTGTGCGCATGAATCCTCTCTTCCAAATAAATCTCATTTTCCAAATAAACTACTAGAATTTATGGAAGAGACTGAATGTTTTGAATAATTAACTTTTATTCACTCAGGATATTCACATGTGATCTTGAAGACATTGTAAGTATTTGTTAAGATTTCAAAAGATAATATTTGAAATTGTAGCAGAACAATTTTGACAAACTTGTGCTTATTATAACCTTTTTCACGATCAAATATTTACATCCTTTTTTTAGTATAGCTTTTGGTTTTTCAACACCTGGCGGTGTTTTCCTCTGGTTAGTTGTTTAGATGTTGAAAGTTTTGTAACTACTTACGTTTAGTTTGCTCGGTAAATTTTTCCACTGAGTCAGATGTTATTTACGACACAGATTTGATGCAACTTGGTGAAACTCAATGGTTATATATATATATATATATATATATATATATATATATATATATATATATATATATATATAATACATTTGAAATCATCAATCAATCATTGTTAGACCACCATTAGAAACCTGGAAGCACTGGACGGCCGTTTCGTCCTAGTATGGGACTCCTCAGCAGTGCGCATCCACGACTCCTGCTCCTCGCAGGATTCGAACCCGAGAACTTTGGCATTGTAGGCGAACGCCTTACCATCGGACCACAGGGTCGGCATCCAACGGTGTTAATGTCTAACTCTGATTGATCTATATATAATACACGCAGTTTTTTATACATAGAAGTATTCAAAATATTTTATCTACTGTTCTTTTCATTTGGAGCAGATGTATTTCTAAGTCAGTCTTAATTTCAATAAATCCGAGAATGTGTATGTATTCATGTTACCAAAAAAATATAATACTCACCGACCAGAAGTTGTAATCACAATGATAGCAGCAGCATTACAAAGACTAGCAGCTTCTACTGCAGCAATTGCAGTAGTGTGGGCCATTTCAGTTGGACCAGTTAAAGAAGATTTCAAATCTTCAAACAATTGTCCGTGAAACGTTGCTGCTTCAGCTTGTAAACATATACGATGCATAGTTTGTACAGCTTCCAAGGGATATAATCCTTTGGCCGTTTCACCTAAATTACAAATACAAAAGTAACAAAATGAAAATGATTGATTCATTTTAGTTTATTCACGATAATCGAAAACCTTAGTGTTGTGAACAGAATTCCGATTTATTTGTTCGTAAGTTAACTGATACTCTTCCTTAATTCGTGAAATTAATACTTCATGAAACTGAAGAATATTGGCCGTTTCCTCAGACACTACAACTGGTACTTAACTATAGTCATCAGTAAGGAAAAACCCAAAAGTGAGTTAATATTCTTCTGAATGCAACATACGAAAAAGAATATTATCCAATTTGCAGTGTAAAGATCTGATTAGCCGAGAAATGAATAGATGTTATTACTCTTAGTGAAACTTTTGTTATGATTTGTTTCAAACAGTCGGCATTTCGTAAACATTTAGGGTGTAAATCTTAAATACAATTCATTTAATATAGATGGTTTAGTGGTTAAAGTGTTCCACTTCCAACCACTAATTCATCCAAGAAGTCTCAACTATTTCGATTTGGAAAAACCGGGCAGTATAATTAAGCTTTACAATTAGAGCGTATGTCATACATTAAAGTATCGATCTGGTGAACGTGTGTTGATATTAAAAGATGTGTAGTTTGGAGATGGAACTCTTGGTGATTGGTGTATAACTTGATATTTTAGTCCACAACTACTTACTTACTGCCCATCCACTTAATAAACAAGATTTTATTTCAATTGTATAACTTTACAATATCATCGTGGATATGAACTAGTGCTTCATGGTTGATACTAAGATGAAGAAATTTCATTTTTTTTTCCTGCCTCTCCGGTATCTAAAACTTAAGAATGTCAGGAGACAAGGCGGAGCTTGAATTTCATATGTGAACCTGTAGCGATACGGTACTCAAGAATTTAGAAAAAATGATACGAAAACGCATAATGTTTGGAATATTTAGTTACGTTTGATGATTGGATTGATTATCAAAAATGTACTGTCATAATAAAATAAAAACTAACCTGAAAGCATAACACAATCTGCACCATCAAGTACTGCATTAGCAACGTCACTTGATTCAGCGCGTGTTGGACGAGGCTTAGTAGTCATTGACTCCAGCATTTGTGTTGCACAGATTACAGGCTTACCAACCTGATTACAACGACCAATCATCATCTTTTGCGCTACGAAAACTTTTTCAGCAGGGATTTCTATTCCTAGATCTCCACGTGCTACCATAATTCCATCAACAACATCAAGAATTTCATTAAATCTGAAGATCAAAAGGACATGTCAACCGAAATATTAGAAAGCAATATACTGGCATATTATTACGGTTTCAATAACAATTTGATAAATCATTTGGGAAATAATCATAGGGAGGCAAATATCACTGTTTTGAAACCATAATCGGGTAGAAAAGAATAGCGTATTGATACTTTTTCTTGAACATAGACCACTAAACTTATGCGGACAGATAATACTTGAGAAGTTTGCAAATGAAATTATGAAAGCTACAAGTTGAAAAATAATAGCGTGCAAAACTGACAGAAACTGACATTGTAAGGTTTCATTCGATTGTTGATATTTTATTCAATTAATAAAATGGATTTAGACGTGACTTGTGTCTATGAAGTTACTGATTTTTAGCGATGTCAGAGAGTTAGAGCTATAAGTGAAGGTTAAAACAATAAACAAAATGGGATATAGCACATAAGCGCATCAATCAATGTTGTCGAAATTCTATTCACTACAGTAACGGAGAATCAAGAAATTATTGTATTGAAAAACTTACTGTCAATGTATCCAACGGAAAACCAGTCTTATTTCTATTTTATGAGTTTACTGTCTGAAAGCTTCAATTATGCACCACAGTCCATTAAGGAGGCTAAGATTTCGGACTATGTCAGCTGAACTGATACCTCTGTAGCCGCTACATGAATCCTGCGATTGTATCCGGTCTAATGTAATCAGACTAACATTCAACTCAATGTGACCGTCAAAAGTGACATCAGCCAGTTACAACCAACATACATCTTGGTAAAAGGGTGCGCTAGACCAAGTTGTCATACCACATAATTAACAGACGAAAGTCTCGGGAGTAGCAGAAGTCGAAATAATATCAAATTCAGGAATAAAATAAAAAATTAAAACTCAAAACCTAAACGAAGATAGGGAGTGAACTCCACGTCACAGACCTAAAGCAGATAGTTTGCATCTATTAACACAGCTTAATTGTGTTGATAGGCAGAATATACAAGTACACCAAAATGGTTCTTAAAAGACATTAACAAGAGCAACGTCATGTAATGGATTATATGACATTTAATTTTCGCAAATGAATGGAATCACTTGACTATGATTACGATATATTTTTGAAATCCGAAACTAAAATAATTTCCCTTTTACTTCAACTTTATCCAACAAATATTATAGTCAGTACAATCGAATGGAACTCCGATAATAAATTAGATTGTTGACATCAAAACATCTACAGAAGATGAATTCCGTATATCAAGAATGTTTATGGAGTTATATCTATTCTACATAATTATTTATAATGGTTATAATAGTAAGTTGTGATCTACCTTAGGTTTGACATCGACAGAATATTCGAATGCTACAGTGTAGGTTCATTTAGATGCTTTGCGAATAGTTTAGTTCATCAAAAATATTTATACACAAACATATTAAGAGACTTACCGTTGGACACCTTCATGATTTTCAATTTTAGCAATGATTTTTATGTAGGCACCTTTTTCACCGAGAAGTCGACGGATTTCATGTATAGCATCAGCATTCCGAATGAAAGAGGCGAACACCATATCAAGCTTGAGAAAATTAATCGAGATATTATGAAATGAAAGAGAGTGTAAATTGCATGTGATAGTTTATCACATTCAACATAACATGAATTTGTTTGAAAAACTATATTATGCAAGGAATATTAAACATTTCTTTTCTGAAGCATATCTATGTAATATTGTAATATCTAAAAGTTCGAGGAAGTTATTGGAAGATGACATGAGCGACAACCATGCTTCTACTTTGATATCACATTCAATGCCAACTAAATGAGAAAAGCAACTCCGCCTGAAGCCCCTCTAGGGAAACTGCCGGTCCTAAGCCAGGAGATAAAGGGGGAAGTTGGGCATGGGGTTGGCGACACAATTTTGCAGAAAACTAACTAGCTAAAGAATACCAACCAGAAAAAAACTATTCAAACCGTTTTAATTCTGCCCTGACTGTTAGGAGGTCTTCATTTAGAAGACTTGTCACACACCATGATAAGAGCCGAGTCCCTTAGGAAGTCACGAAGCCGATGCCCATTCTCACAACCAGAGCAACCTTCCTTTTAGGTACATGGAATGTCCTAACAATGTGGCAGACCGAAAGACTGTTCCGAATTGCTGCAGAAATGAAAAAACACAACCTGGAAGTGCTTGGAATCAGTGAAACGCATCGGACGCAGGCTGGACAACTAAGACTAGCTTACGGGAAACTGCCGTTATACGCCGACCAAGAATAAATGAAAATGCTCCACATGCACAAGGAGTCGCACTGATGCTGTTCAAATAAGCACTAAAAACACTGATAGGATGGGAATCTCATGGGCACAGGATCATCAAAGCATCCTTAGAAACAAGGAAAGAGGGAATTACAATAAACGTCATCCAATGCTATGCACCTACAAATGACTACAATGACGACGTTAAAGATCAATTCTACGAGGCTGCAGTGAATCTTCGGGAGATGCTCATCAAAGAATTTGACCGTTCTGATAGGAGACCTAAATGTCAAGGTTAACATGGACTTCATGGGACGACATGGACTAGGAGAAAGGAAGGAAAACAGTGAGAGGTTCGACAGGACTGTAAAGGGAAGCCCAGGACAGAGTAAGTCGGAGAATACTGATGGGCGGCCTATGCTACATTGGGCGTAACAGGCGTAGGTAGGTAAGCAGTGAGACGAGCAGTAAATGGTTTATAATCATTGTGAACAGTAAGATTTGTTTGTTGACGAAACTTCAAAACATCATACCATGGAAATAGTGATTACACAATTAAAATTATTAGTTAAGAACCTACATTATGCTCAACTGCAAAACGAAGATCTTGTTTGTCTTTTTCTGATACTGCAGGTAAATCGACATGGGCTCCTGGGAGATTGACTCCTTTACGAGACCCAAGCTTCCCACCGTTTTCTATTTCGCAGTCAAGGTAATTAGGACCTGATATTAAAAGAAAAAATGGACTATTAATAACAAATCATATTATCTAGAAATCTGAGAATATGGATATTTTACGAATAATTTTCACGTTAGTCTCCTTACCTTACAACGTGCAATTTAGTGGAAGCAGATAATGTTCAATTTCTACCTGATGTGTACAATCTTAATGGAGTATTTTGGTCAAGATATGGTATACAATGAGCTCGGATAACCATGCAAACATGCTTTACTGATACTCTTTGAAATGAAGCTTGGGTCAACATAAGCTTATTTTTAGCAGTAAAACATGTAGGTGCATCTGTGTGTCAAATAACACGAATTACCAATTATAGATTAATGATGACCGACCAACGGTTTAACAAAGTATATTCTAAACTGTGAAATAGGATCATGATATTTGAATTGAATTTTAAGCTTTGATAATGACCATCGAAGAAACCAATTCGTGTAAATTAACATCAATTGGCATCCGGTTTTCTTATCAATTACCATAAACCACAAAAATAAGTTTTACATGTAAATAATCATATCTAAATTAATTAATAGATTTAAAAATTGATTGAAAGCCATGAAAAATGAATAAGCACAAAAAAATACATGAAGAGCCAGTGAACACATTCGATATGCGGATTAACAAGAACACTTACCTTTATTCAGAACCACTAAGCTTAGCAAACCATCGTCAACGAAAATCTTTGATCCTTTAGACAGAACATGTACAATATTTGGGTAATCCACATATAGAGTAGATTCATTACATTTTTCCATGTATGCAGGATCTGTGGTTACACGGATTTTATGACCAACTTCAAGAGTGACTTCAGCAGTCCCACTCTATAGAAGGCAGAATATGAATATGACTTTAAAACTAGATTCGAACATCCAACAAGTTATATAAGTACAAGTAAAAGGAAGGAAGCATGCTTGAGGAATCATTTATCTACGTAGTTGATGTACAATTACTTTCCTATTAAGTGGATACAATAATCTTAATAGGCAGTAAAAACTCAAGTTAAGTCATTAATCCAATTGAGATATTATTCTCGATACGATTTATATTTTCATTACATGAAAGGAAATGAATTACTTTTACAAGATATTACTGAAAAAACAATACTTAGGTATTTAATTAAAAATAATTTACGCTAATAACAGAAAAGTAAATTATTTTTGAGTGCTGACAAATACATATAGTAAGAGTCGACTAACTTCATGCAGAGCTGTTTTGCTCATCATAATTTTGATTATTCACATCCATTTTCCAAATAACTGTAGGTAACTCGGTTGAGAATATATGTGTAGCTACACAACTTGATAATATTCGGTATTAGCAGAAACTGCTAGCATTAGATAAATACCTAGTGGTAGTAATGCAGCACTAATTAAGTTCGGGACTGTTGTAAGATAAAGGGCTGTTTCACAAATAAAATCAACGTTATCCTTACCCCGTTTATGAGACCAGTGCGAATTTCGGGACCCTTGGTATCCAGAGCGATGCCTATTGGTCGAGGAAAAGGTTTTAGAGTTGAGGCAGCTTCTCGAACCAGCTTGACAGTTTCCGCATGATATTCATGACTGCCGTGAGAGAAGTTGAGACGAGCAATATTCATTCCGGCTGTCATCATATTTTGTAGCATCTCGACGGTACGACAAGCCGGACCTAGTTTACCAAATAAGCAGAAAAATAAACTTAACGAAACGAGCAAATTATTTGTTCATCATAGATTTCACGATAATAGCAGACACAGAACTTGTTTTGTTATTAGTTAAAACATCTTAACCTATGTTGATTACTCAAGAAAAACGATCATTTGTAAGTACACAAGGAGTTGGTATCTTAGGCAATCTGAGGTGAGAGGGAACACCAGATCCTGATAGGTTCAACCCTGAGATTTTTAAGGATGGCGGAGCAATTTTAGCAGCAAGACTGACTGAGATCATGGGTAGGATTTGGGAAATGGTCATAACTGCATCTGACAGGTCTCAACCCCTGACTGTCCCGATTTAGAAAGGAAAAATCTAGTATATAGGCCAAAATATTTGTCTCGATAGTACTTAGACGCCCAACCAGAGCTCGTGAAAAGTACAAAGAAAGTTTATTACCTTTAAACAAGTTGTCTGCTCGAACGCTACTGGCCAATTCAGAACTTAAGGTGAACTGTCATCGGAATCGATTACTAGGAGTGATTTGTTCTCTATCTCTGTATTTGTTCACCTTTGTCACTGACGACACTTTCATCCTCCAACTTTTCACGAGTTGACCTTCATCCGTGAGGTTCACTTGTTGAGTTGAAATATGCAGATGAATATAGCTTTACTTGGTTTAGACGGAGTCTTCGAACTACCTTAGGCAACAATATAAGCATGTTTAAGATGCGATTCTTCCCGTTGAAATGCAAAATGTTGCCTCAGGATTGGCTTGCATCGGCACCTGAACTAGTGACAGGGAGTGAAGCAGTTGAGCGTCTTGACCGCTTCACATACCTCGGGAGTCTCATAAGCGCTGATGGTCTGGAGTGTTACTATATCTCAGCACGGATACAGAAAGCTCGACTGGCTTATGTCAGCCTGTCACAAATGGAGTAGTCGACACATACATCTACCAGCCAACAGACGAGTTTATAGCGAATCAGTTCGCTCCAGTAAGAGTAGAGGATATTCGTAGGTTATTAGTATTCGATTAGAGATGTCTTCGAAGCATTGCTCATGTATCCTGAAACAACCAAGTAAGCAATGCAACTGTTAGGAAACGAATACTAGACGGATGGAAAATCAATAGACGAAGTAGTGAAATTCTACTAGTTGAGATAATTGTGACATGTTTTATGTATGGCTAACCACTAACTACCTAGATGAGCTGTTTTGTGGTGAGGAGTAGGTTGGAAGAAAGCTAGGGATAGCCAAACCAAAACATGGCACGAATCCATGAAGTCACAGAATCGTGTCAGTTGGTGTAAACTACTCGCTTGGGATCCGCGAGATGATGGTTACGAAGGAGCCGACTAACAGGGTATATTAAACCACAAGTGTGATTTGTCAAGCAGCAGAAATTTGTTATAGAAGCGGCTTCCTGATAAACTAGGTGAAAGGGATACGGTAGCAGACGATGTCCCGAATGAGAACTCGAGATACTAATTAGTTCAACACTCAGTTGATAATCGTAAACTTCTATGCGAAAGACAAAAAAGAATGGCTTTGACCATGACTGCATGTGGGACATCTTTAAAACTATGTAAATGCTCAAAATATAGATATCATAATTCTTAGTACCATATATGAAACAAACCCCCATTCAAAGTCACACAGGCAGACTTTCACAGTCACTTACCGATAGTACATATTATCCCAGTATTTCGAACAAAAGCAGGTTCGTGATCGATGTCCAGGCTAACAACATGTTCTAGAAACGAACGTGGGTACACGGACAGTGGTGCATTCGGATGATATGGAGAAGCTTCACCGAACCTTGAGACAGAAGATACTCCGTGGAATGACTGACCTCCAAAAGACCTAAATTAAATAACTTATAAACTCATAAGCCATCAACTTACAGTCCTGAACCCAACATCACGTAGATAGGGGCCGAAATTCGAATGTACTCTGCGAAGCTGGTGCGGATACAAGTCCGGATTAGTATGTTTAAAGGTGTGTTGAACATTCAATAGCTGAATTAAAAGCGAAGGACTTTTTCAGTCATGTTATTAATTATGGTAAAAATGTGAATCTTCTCACCGCTTTTATTATTATATTGGTCGCTTTTAAGCGATGGAGATATGTAGCTTTAATTTTCATGCTTGGTAGCGTTAGTTATTCTGAGCTGGGTGGTTTGATTGAGATTTTTCTGTTGCATAGTAGTGGTTTGTTTAATTATTCCATTCCAAGTCAATTTTACCCCATCGTAGTCTATGAGCAGTTGTGTTTGCAGGTTTTAAAGTGGTTAATTTATAAACCTTATTACCTTTGTAAACGTCTGACGTGGACTAGCTATGTTCACTGTTGTAAACCAACTAGCTGAAGACACTCTGACATTGTTCGACCCTGGAATATTAAAGTATTTTTCAGCTTCTGTTTGATTTCGCAATCTTGATGAACCATTTTTGTGTCCAACCTGCATTTAATTTTTTGCCCGTTCCATTCAAAGTGACCAATAAAGAATAGAATTTTCGGTACCTCATTAGATAAACTATTGGAGGTACGCTAGGACATTTGTATATCGACGACCTTCTAGCAGTCATAGCGATGGTGAACGATATACCTAACGACCAAAGCAGTTATTGGGGAAAAGTCAAAAATGCGGCACCAGCACCAATGTTGAATAGTGTGAAGTTTGAAAAAAATGTACCACTCCCAAGTCACATGGTAATCTCCTAGTATATCAGGACATTTCGAGCAGAATTCGCTACTAATCGTGGCTATTCGTATGGCATCAGTTAGTAAATTTCACACACTGGAGAAATCAGGCCTTCTGGTGATCAGCGAGGTCCTGTCAGGAACGCAGTGGGTGAATGGTATCTAGTCCAGCATATTCGATAAAAGTTGACAATGATATGTTAGCTCCCGCTATTTACGCGAAGAGTGAACTAACCAGGTCGTATAATCATATTCCGATCACATCAGTGATCTTCCTGAAAAAGGCAGAAACGAACCTATTCAGGTATACGAATCGGAGCATCATACACAGGCAGATGAAAAACTAAATAATTCATTTGGAATGTTTACAGTCATTCTTAGTGGAAAAAACAGAATACTTCAAATTTTGATACCGTATAGAACTTGGAATTTTCGCAAGTATCAATTTCGATATTTCTGAATGCCAAACTTACAGACGTTTCTGATTACATAGATACTTTACTGGTGTTCTGACCTCTTAGGATACTTGAATGTGGCCACCCGTGTGTACTAATATGTGAGGTTTTAATATATTAGGTTTTGCGCTACAAGGACCACCATCACAAGGAGTGGATCTCTATTGATACCCTTGAAAAATCTGAAGGGGCAACAAGAGGGCAGAAATCAACGTTAACCGAACAAGAGCAGAGAAAGCCAAGGTTTAAGCTGAATACACAGAAGCAAACAGGAAAGCGAAGAAGAGCATCAGAGCTGACAAACAAAAATATGTGGAAAGTCTAGCAATGACGACGGAAAAGGCTGCAAGAGACGGAAACTTGAGGAAAACTGTAACCTTGCGCTGGTTTTTACTTCCTACCGAGAAATCCTATTACAAGCTGGTCTGGACAACTATACTAAAAAAGAGCTCATTCATAACTTCTTGAGCCTCAGAGTTAAAAATAAAAAGAATAAATAAAACCAAAAAATTATATCACTGATCCTCTTTATTATATTTTGTAACTCAACTTTATTACTAACAACTTGGTTCTTCTGAATTTCCTCTATTCTTTCAACTAACTTCTCATTAGTTATCTCACTACTGAATTGTCTTCATTAACCTACATAAGCGCAGATGTAAAGTGTTCTGATATTAAAAATGTTTGGGTAAACATACCTTTGTTTTATCCGTGAACGTATGTGCGAAGCTGTTGTTCGGCTTTGAACATGAATATTTTCTGTTCTGCTCCTCGTCCCGTTTTCTTTATTCCTCTTTTTTCAGAACCTTATTCCAATCCACATATATTTGTCTGGATATTTGCAGTAGACTTGGTTACCATACCCAAGAACATGTGGAATCATTAGCTGACGAATATCAACCAGACTTTTGTACATTTACCGCATCAATTCTTGTTATATGAAAACCTGTCTGTACCATGAATCATTTCTCAGCCCATAAGATGATTGTCGTAACGCAACCTTCGTAACTTGCGCCAATTGATCGCTTTGTACATTCCAACTTTAAGAAAACAATGAATCTTATGAAATGTTTCAGTAACATTATACCGTTTTCAGAAAAAAATATGTTGCTAATCTTAACATTTTGATCTTGCCTGTAAATTGGCATGTCTCTTGTAACATGTTTGTTATTTGAGAATAAATTATTATTATTATTATTATACAATACAACAAAATAAGCTCACTGGAAACCATAGTAAAACAGAACAACCAGTGAAAAGTAAGGAAGGCAAAGTAATCAGCAACACTGAACAACAGCGAAATAGGTGGGTAGAGCGCTTTCAGGAACTCCTGAATCGACCAGCTCCACTGAACACACCCAACATCGAAGCAGCATCCACGGACCTCCAAATTAATATTGGCGCACCTACGATTGAGGAGATCAGTATGGCCATCAGACAAGAGCGGCAAAGCAGAGGCAATGAAAGCAGATGTAGAAGCAACTGCGAAAATATTTCACATCCTCTTCAAGAAGATTTGGGATGAGGAACAAGTAACATCAGATTGGAAAGAAGGATACCTGATCGAAATACTAAAGAAAGGCGACCTGAGCAAGTGTGAGAACTACAGAGGCATCACTCTTCTTTCAGTACCAGGCAAAGTCTTCAACAGAGTATTGTTAAACAGAATGAAGGACTTCGTAGACGCCCAACTTCGAGATCAACAGGCCGGATTTCGTAAGGATCAATCGTGTATCGATAAAATTGCTACATTACGGATCATTGTGGAACAATCATTTGAATGGAACTCACCACTCTACATCAGCTTCATCGACTACGAGAAATCTTTCGATAGCGTGGGTGGTTCCTCGACACTACGACGTGCTTGGGGAGATAGCCAACATCATACGGAATTCTTATGATGGATTATACTGCAGAATTGTTTTCGTAGGTTAGCTGACTACTCGTTCAAGATGAATACTGCTGTCAGGCAAGGTTTCTTACTCTCACACTCTCTTTCTCCTGGTGATCGACTGGGTTATGAAGACGCCAACACCTCGAGTGGAGCACGGTATCCAATGGACAGCTAGGATGCAACTAGACAATCTGGACTTCTCAAATGATCTGGCTCATCTATCGCACACGCAACAACAAGTGCAAGAGAAGACGACATGTGCATCAGCAACCTCAGTAGGACTCAACATATATAAGGGGAAAAGCAAGATTCTCCAATACAGCACAACATGTGCCAACCTAACCACTCTTTATTGAGATGCATTGTAGGACGTTAACACCTTTACATATCTGGGCATCATCATCGACATTAAGATGGATGTGATGCAGATAGGAAGGTGCGGATTGGCAAGGCAAGGCCTGCATTTCTACCATTGAACAACATCTGCAACTCAAAACAACTGTCAACAAACACCAAAGTCAGAATTTTCAATACAAATGTCAAGAGAGTTCTTCTGCATGAGGCAGGAAGTTGGAGAACTACGAAATGCATCATCCAGAAGATACAAGTGTTTATTAACACTTGTCCACGCAAAATACTTTGGATTCGTTGGCCAGACAATATCAGCAAGAACCGACTGTGGGAGAGAACAAGCCAGATTGCAGTGGATGAGGAAATCAGGAAGAAGCGGTAGAAGTGGTTAGGACAAACATTTCGGAAATCACCCACTTGCGTTGCATGACTCTTCCTCACTTGGAACCCTCAACGTCTAATGAAAAGCGCAAGGCCAGAGAACACAATACGTCGAGGAATTGAGAGAGAAATAAGACGAATGAATAACAATCATTCAGATATACTAAGGAGGATCCATGGCAAAATAGGTTGGAGAATATTAAACCTAATGTTGCTGAAGTCATGGTTGCCTATTCCGGGATTCACTCAAATTATAATCTGGGTGTAGTGATTTTATAATCGGTACGTAGTGTGAAATGACTTCAGATGTGTCTCGCCCGGGGTAAAACAATTGGCCATGTCCCAAATAAGCATCGGTACGTGATCTGTTTAGGCACCCACTGAACTTTGCAAAAGCTTTCGACTCGATGCCACACGTACTCCTAATTGCGAAGGCTGCGATTCACTTCTATCATAGCTCAGAGACCATCTTGAGAATGTAAGGTTTCGAATGAAGTGAAACATAGTGCATGCGAACTGAGAAGTCTCACCATCAGGAGTTTCACAGGTTCCCTCTTTTTCCTGTTACTCAATAATGACCTGTCAGATAAAATTAGCTAAACGGCTCCGGTCTACACATACGACTGAAATCTAAGGAGCTTCATAAGGAGTGAAGAGGATCCAACTAAGCTGAACTGAGGTATGGGTGGAAGAAACAGGTGAAAACATAAGTGTCAGAAATGCCACGCTGTGAAAATTCTGCTCCACGTGACGCAAACAACATCTTTCCTCAATAGAAGTCCGCTCCATAAAATCTCCCCAGATCCTGATCCAAGTTCCATGACCACAGGACACCTGAACAGGGCTTTAAATTACACCGGGGATGCCACCAAAACAAACAGGTTTCTTCGTTTTATGCGAAAGTAACTTGTTGCACACTAGAATTATTCCTAATATTTCTTAAAACAAACGCGCACCCACACGAAAATGTTCACAACATCGTTGCACCCCATCTCCTTAAACGAGAAATAGGTTATGAGTTTGAAGAACAGACCAAACGAAAACAGACCCCAATACTTGATGTTATTCCGTCTGAGTTATAATGGAATCAGAGATGATCCGATGATGGCACGCAATATAATTAATCCTCCGAATCATTCCAACACAAGCATCTTGTAGAAACATCTTCACAACGTCCCTTGGACGCAATCTGCAAAAAACTACACGTCAAGGAATTAGTACCCAGTGTAGATGAATTTTCTACCGTAGCAGTTCAATTTGTTTCCAGTAGGTGTAGGTCGAACGCGCTATCCCCTAGTCCAATATCAGAACACAATAATTCTAAGAGAAAGTGGTCTATATTATGGTAAAATGGAAATACAAACAAATACCTGACTTTTAATACACCTTTCAAGTCCCAATTGCCCTGATGGGTATCCAGTTCCAAAAGAATAAGTGATACTAGATCTAACCGCAACGGTATCAAATCCAAAGATGGCTGTAGCTATATTAAATATCGAATTTAAACAACATATGTACAGTTCAGAAGCAAACATAAAAACTCCAATATAAGTACAAAATATATAAATAATAACAATATACAATGGTAAAATCTCAAAATGGAATCAAATAAAGTACCAAAATGTTAACACAAAGAGTCATTCATATCATAACACAAATATATATACATGGAGGGATTTTCCACAAAAAAACATTCAAAAAAGATTCTACACCCAGTTTCATTAAGAGCTTTCTATATTTGGAATGCTTTCATAGCCGGGGTGACCACAGTATTCTCAGGTGATAGCTTCAGGAAGGAACTTGATAACTGCGTATTCACAAACGGATTAGTTGTTATTACTGACATTTCCTTAGATCACTACCATATTATTTCTCGCTTATGATCTCTGTTTCCTTCTCCTTGCTTACACTTCGATCCTTTCGCACAATCTTTATTACCAATTAGTTAACTTATTGATCCCTTTATTTACTCATTTCTGAAGTCTTCTCATTAGCATTAGAAATTTCGCCTTATCATTCGATTATCTCTATCCTGGTAACATGGTAACTGCTGGCATTCAGAAAAGCTACTTCTCTGAGACAAATGTACTCATTCAAATCACGGGACATACAAATTCACGAACAGCTGCTAGCCGACTAGAATTAGTGCAGTCGAGTGGCTAGACTACCATCCATCGGACAACAAGAAATACCTGGAACAATACTGAAAGAACTCAATGGATTTATTCTAGCTAGTGGAAAATATATTGGACATTGAAATATGGTTAATCTTGTCGAAGGTCATTGGGGAAAAATCCCACAGCTGTCTTTCCCAAGGTCATTTTGACTAGAAATGGAACATGAAGTTGACGGTCTGTTTTGGAGACACAAAGATCGTGGTTCCTTGTGGTTCAGGGAACTTGACGGTTAGAGACTTGACTCTTAGTGGTTTAAAGAGAGTCAGGCATACTTTACCGAAGGTTTGTTTTTCAATTTTTACATGAATCTCATTCAACTTAAAGAGGAGAATAATAGGGAATATGTTGTTTATCCCAAAAAATTACATTTACCTCATTGAGATTGTAAATTTTGGGTGAGATTAAAGCAATAATTTTGGAATGCTTTCTCACAAACGGATCAGTATTGAGGGAATAAGCACACTTTTTATCCCGGTTTGTAGAGAAAGGCGATAATTTGGTTTATTATCTCATATATACATCTTAAAGTTTACTCATGGATCATTTAAAAATTCCTGAAAGTTCTCCCTAATTTCCTTTTCCGTCTGCTTTGGAGATTTTATCGCTATTCTGATGTACTACTGCGAGCACACAAGCTGTCCTTAAAATGACATTCGGTTTAATTGATCATTTTTTAGCTTGGACCTCAGGATCGCATTGTTGTCCACAGCATCAATGTGGCCAGAGATGGTGGTATGCTTGATTGGGATGATTTGGTTTGCGATGTAGTAGACGATCGTGAAATGGTAGGTTTTCCATTTTTCTTATCGTTATGATGTAATATTACCTTTATTACTTTATTCAGAGAAAGTTGGCTACCACATATTTCGCTAACTGCCAAGAAAATGCATGAACATCTTACAAAACGTACTTTGTCCATTTATTGACATTCCAAATATTACCTATATTATAACATGAATACATATCTTAACTCCCCATCTAAGTGTTTATATATCCAGGTGGCTTATTACTGCTTTAGATAGACCATTAAAGTGTCAAGCAGAATCGTGTTCGTATTACTTGTTCTATTTCCCAATTATTACTATACCTAAAACTGGCATAGGATATACCGATTGTCAGTTTTTGTTAAGTTAGCACTTGTTAGTTCTCACCAACTAGTAGTATAAAGTTCAAGGGGTTAAATGTATTGCTTTGGGTAATGTCGTATGTTTGAAATTCCAACACGGTGTAAAGTGTTCTAGTTTCAATCAATCAAAAAGTCGAACAATTAAAAATGTTCAAAAACACGGCGTGTTTTTTCTGCATATTACGCCACCCTTTTCACTCTTCTTTATATTTTCGTAAGCCATGTAATAGATCCCTTTTAATGCATATTGTACCAACTTTAGATTCAAAAAACATTAAATGGTATGTAATAGTTTTTAAAGTTTTTGAATTTTCATCTCTTGGTAGGTTACTGCTCACTTTTCGATTGCCACCCTATCAAATAATGTGAAGGATTCTTGTCTCAATCGGCCCTCAACTGGTCTTGATTCTATATTTCAGACAATTTCTACACCCTTAGTTGTTGATTTGTGTTCTGATAGTGCTATTGAGCATTCACTTCATAGTCCTATCCAGTCTAACGGAGTCAGTGAGCTTGGAGATAGTGGATTGAATCTTGCACCTGTTTGTGGAATCGGATTGAAGCAAACCGATATTAATGGTCATATCGCAAATAGACTTCTGCGTACTGGAGACGGAAGTACAAGCAGTAGTAACTTAAGTCTAAATCTTAGTAATGATAGCTATGGATTGCATCAGCCAAATGAGGTGCATACGTCTCAGTTCCCTGGTGACATCCACGAGTGGTTTTTGAATAATGAGTCTTCCCGTGATACTAATTCAATGTCGCGTGAGTTGTTGATATTTATTTTAATTAACAGTGTGAATCCTTTTATTTTTACGGGAAAACTAAATAAACCACTGGAAGGATTTATAGAATTTATAACCTTACGGTAATCAGGAGTAAATTTGTTCCGTATACTAGCTAGTAATATCCAGAAACGTCCAATTCGTTATCTAGTAGTCATGTATGAACCAGTACTAAATTAATAAAAAACTGCATAGGCACAAACGAACGTATTGTGTTTGGAAAATCACTTTCGAGTACAAATGTCACAGTTAGTTAAAGCCTGAAATTAGTTTAATTAGTAAATTTTCAGCGTCGAGTCACTCTGTGAGGGAAAGTTTTTTCCTACCAGTTTACCCAAACTGAGGTTGGTTTTGTATGACCTGCGTCCCAAATCTTGAAAACTGAGTACTTAACTATGTCCACTACCCAGTTAGTATACATTCTATATATCTGGTCTTTGTTGACAGTCATTTGCATTAATAATTACAGCGTTAGATAGTTCTTAAAACAGCCAGTGGACTGAGTTATGTTGGTAGATGTAGGCTACCTGGTTGGGGTCCGCGAGACGAAAGTCACCAGTGGTTAGAGACCTTAAACGATATGGCTCAAAATCGTTTGCATCATAATCTCTATCTTTCTCTTTCTAAATTTATCTCACTGAATTATACTTCTCGAATCATATCTTCGAACCCTAATCTTCTCCATTACTGCTAATACTTCTGCTACCACTATTGGATTTGAACTGACAGTTGCGTCTGTGTGCTAATGTGGTGCTAAGGTTAACAAACTTGGCTCTGAGTTCCTTTCGGTATAATATTTAGTAATATATACTGAATTGGGTTGATGGGGTTCAAACTTAAAGCTCAAGGTATGAAAGTCAAATACTTACAACATTAGAAGACCGCCCTACTGAAGGTAGAAAACAGACTGATTAACCGTCAAAAGTAGATACCTTTTTTACCTTTGATTTTCAAGCACTAGTATACTCTAGCTAGTGGATATAATTTATGGTGTTATACACATCTAATACAGACTCAAGTGTAGTTCAAATATATATATATATATGCCTTAAATTATTGTCTTTGAATTTTCTCATTCTACGATTTCATCCCCTTTTCCTGAATCATATTGTCTATGCTTATACTGTTAATACTTCTGGTACTTTGGCATTTATCTTGATAATTTTATATCACTGTGTTGCGTTGTGGCAACTTAACTTGATGCAAATATATTCTAGGTTTTATGTTGCTCACGAATTACGGACCGTTGGTTTGTGCCAGACTACTGTGTCTGGATCCTTACGAGTTGACAGTGTGCACAGTTTGTTTGTACAACATCATACATTGTTCATGACTGGCTAATTTTATTATGCTGCACTAATTGCTCAATTTTAATTCCCAGTCTTTCTTTATACGTTTTTTTTCCTTAACAGATTATAACATTAATGCATACTGTGTCTCAACAATATTCTCTTCTGATGACAATAATAAGAAATGTTTTACAACCTCTTCAGTTCCTCAGTTGCCATCTACTTGCTGCAATACAGTATCAAGTGCATGTGAACAACTGAAAAGCTCTTCTTTTTCATGCGATAAATCGTGCTCCAATAGTATCACCGTAAGTAGTACTGCAATTTCAAAACATTGTCAAAGAACACCACTTTCACCAAATGTCTTCGAAATGGTTAGTTCTTTATATGTATAGTATCTGTTCGTTTTATTTATGTGAATATGTTTAGTGGTTTCACCAATCGATTTTATACCGATGAAATTGCTTGGATATTGGTTGGCTTTGACTATTACGGTTACAAATCACTAGTCTAGATGTTCTTAAGCCCAGTTACAATCTGGGTCTATACTTATTTATCAAGCAGTGTATCGTGACCTTACTTTTAAAGATCTGATTAGATACTGTGGTTTAAAAAACAAGCTGTCACTATTGTTATCTGAGATAAAGTTAAACTTTGCGCTTCGTTGAATTCACTTAAGGATTGGTACTTCGAAATATCACAACAAAATATGTAGAAAACTATTTGAACTTACGGGAGAGATCTTTGAAAACATAGGATATATGTATGTGACGAAATGAATGATAGAGAAACTTTAAAGCTATTTTATATACCGTGTGTTATTATAAATCTCACCTGATTCCCCAAAAAGGCGTATTACTGTAATGTCCGTCCATTGTTAGTTGAACATTCCAGTATCTTGTAGCGTTTAGATCGTTAATTCCTAGTGAAATCTAACATTTTACTAATAGTGGTTGTACTAGCAAACCTAACTTAATTTTCTGAACGTTATAACCATATAGAATGGATCTATTTATGCTAACTTTATTTGTTTGAAGTGTTCACTAACTCGGTTTGAAAATTCACCTCACTGTACTAATCGAGTCTGGCAACTTGAACCGATGCACATATATTCCAGGTGGTGTTGTTTATGATTGATTAGATGTTATGTTCGCTCAGATTTGTTATTCTAGATTTTTAATATCTCAGACTGTGATAAGAAAATCTGCGATTTGTCACAAAACAAGCCAATGTTTAATAACTCTCTATATTTGTATCCTTCCTTAGTTTATCTGAGTTTTCTCACATCATGTTTTCAATTTATAGTAAGTATAACCACACGTTAAAGGTATCTCAAACAACCATCCATTTTGTTTTCTTATCTAAAACTGTCCAGTTGAAGTAGTTATCAAGTTGTTTTTTTTTACATATTCGTTTAATATCCTTGAACATCTCTTTTCATTTTGAAGCTCTCAAATGCCTTATCTCGCCGTCGTGATCTTATTGAGTCTGGTTGGGATTCTGATGATGAAGATGAAGATGTTTGTGATCCTGACGGAGGTTATTCGTACGATTGTGAAATAGGTGAACAACCAGACGAATTAATACCATTACCAAATACTGATACTATTGTTCATTCAGATACCACGAACAAAAGTTCAACTCTAACTCGAAATTCTCCACCTGGCGGAAGCCATTGTTGTTTAGATGTCACAAAAAGTAATAGTCATCCTAAAAATACTAGTGATAGCTTTTCAACTGTAAGACATCTTTTGATGACTTCTACATCAAATGGGACTTGTGATAAACCAAGTAATCAATCTGTTTTATCCAATGCAAATATTTGGCCCCTCTCCCTTCCACCTTTTTCTACTTCCGATGCTTCGCATGTTAATATTTCTACTAATCTCCAGTGTAGAGTACATTCTCCAGAGGATGAATATCATATAGGCATAAATACTGAAAGACTGATACGTACAGTTCAAAGTCATAATTCATTTTCCAATTCAACTAGTCCCGACTGTTTTTGTACAACTTCAAACATAGAATCTGATTCATTAGTCAACCGGTCAGAATTCCAAAATCTCAATTATTTCCAAGTGAGTTTTCTATTTATTGATCCTAACTTTTTTCTTAAAAGGAGAAAAAAAAGTATAAATTTCACCCTTTTTTTACTCAAATTAGTAAGAAGATCTAAGAATTTCTCAGATATCATTAGAATTATACCATAATACAATATAGACTAAAAATGATAGTGTTAACTGAATGAATGAACTAAGCAACCTAAATTATAAATCCAAGTCAGTCAGTCAGTTGCAACGTAGAACTTCGTACATATGTACATAAGTTAATGTTTCCATATCACATTAGCATATAGAGACGCAAATGTCAAATCAAATCCCATAATGATAAAGATAGTAGAGGTATTAATGGTAATGAAGAAGACTAGGGTTTGAAGATATTATTCAAGAAGTATAATTCAGTGAGATAAGGTTAGAAAAACAACGGTAGATGTGCTGAATGAATCTAGAAGATTAGGATTTCAGAGAGCACAATGAATGAATTCAATTGCACCATTGCAAACGATTTTGAGCCATGTCGTTCAAGGTCTCAAACCATTAGTGACTTTCGTCTCGCGGACCCCAACCAGGTAGCTGACATCTACCAACATGACTCAGTCCACTCGTCAGTGACTTCATCGATTTGTGCCATGTTTTGGTTTGGCCGCCCCTAGCTCATCGCGGCAGTCGGTGCTTAGCCATACGTAACACATGTCCCAACCACATCAACTGATGAAGTTTCAATACTTCATCTATTGATCTGCCATCCTTACCTAGCACCCGTTTCCTAACAACAGCATTGCTTACTCGGTTGTCCCACGGTATACGAGCAATGCTTCTTAAACATCTATGATCGAATACTAGTAACCTACGAACATCTACTCTTAACGGCCATGTTTCGCATCCATATAGGAGAACGGAGCGAACTACTGCGCAGTAGACCCGTCCTTTGGTCAGCGAACGGAAATTATAAATCCAAGGATTGAGGTTAGATAATCAACTGCTGTAAACCACGCCCCCCCCACTTGAAGTTCATCACACAAAACATTCTAACATTCTAATTAGTCTATCAATTTTTCAAGTTCATGTGTAACTGTACCAGTTCTATCGGAATAACATTTTTATTCGTATAAGGAATTTATCATCATAACAGTTTAATCAGTTGTGATGTGTTCTATTCATTCATAATTCTATTACAAGAAAGATCTATAATTTAAATACCCTCCTTAATTAAGATACCGTTGATTAGGAAAAAGTTAATAAACTTGATTAACAATATTAAATTTTAGTTATATTCTTATTAGTATCAGTCAGCTACAACGTAGAACTCCGTACGTACGTACATCAGTTTAGGTTGCTATGCCATGCTAGCACAGAGATGCAATTGTCGATTCAAATCCAATAGTGATAGATGTAGTACATGTATGAGCAGTAATCAGAAAAATCATGGTCCGAAGATATCTCATGCCAGAGGTATAATGCAGTGAAATAGATTTGAGAAGAGAAAGATTGGAAATCATGAGGAGTTTAGATTAGAATTTGGCAGAACACAGAGTGGTTGGACCTGCGCCATTGCAAAGCGATTTTGAGCTGTCGTTTAAAGTCTCTAACCATCGATTGCTATTGTGTCGCAGACCCCAACCTAGTAAGTAGTCTACACCTACGAACACAGTTCAATCCACTTGTCAGTGAGTTTATGGATTGATAAGTAATCGTTAACTAAAGAAACAGCTCTCATACTATTTTAAACTATTTAGGAAATTATCGATAACCAGAAGACACTCGAGTACTGTCTAATTTCAGTTCAGGACTGAGAAGTACTTGTATCATCATCTGTAGTGGAATTGGAAGTTGGGAATTTCAGGCTTAACGATCGAAATTCATTTACTTAGGTCAAAGATCACTGTTCGCATCATTTACTGTTCGACTTTTTTCTCATTTTCTCAAATTGATATGATTCCTTCGGTTCTTTTGTTTTATTTTGATTTTTAAGACAGATACTCAAAGTAGTTGGAAGTCACATTGCCCTTTGATTCATACATGAAAGTGAATGAATGACACCAGTCATTAAATGTTGTAGACTAAGGTATTGTCAGTTATGTTACAATAAATGACTGTTAGGATATTCATGCAATATCCTAAGAGAATTATTGGTCTATTCCTATTGGTTAATTCCTGCTGGTCAACTTTATGGTCGTCCTAGGTATCAGTGTCACGTGCTCCAATCTTGTTTCTTATTGATTGTCCTGACTATCAATGTCATTTCAAATGTTGCTTCCTATTGGTCGTCTTAACTGTCAATGTCACAGACTTCGATGGCGTATCCTATTCGACCAAAATGTAAAAATACGCGTTATCTGTAACGTTTTGTGACCAGGACCAGGACCAGTACCCGGTCCCGGATCCCTAGTCCGAGATCCTGATTCTCTTCTGGATTCGGACCTCATACTTTCTGGATGCTTGTAGAATACATGTTCTACTTCATATCGAGTCTTCTTATTTTTACTAAATATGGAGGTAGGGATAATCGGATTTGAGTAGCATGTCGTGTCACCGGATCCTCGATCCTCGCTCTCGTTTTCTGACTACGTAAACTCGTAATAGTTCAAGCATATCAAAATAACGTCTTACGTTCAGGCGTAACAATAACAATTCTCAAACGTCAAAATTTATTATCGGTCAATGGTTTTTTTTTCATTTTATTTAAACTTTTTAAGCGTAATGTGGTAACTCAGTATGACGATGCAATTCGACAACAGAATGTGCAAGATATATCAAATATGCATATATTAAAAAATAATATGGTTAATAATTCCATTCATCAATCGAGACCTGATCATGTACAATCGCGTAAGTATTTAAAAAATTGTATGGTTGTGTATAAATTTTCATTTTCAGGATTACATATATGTATATAAACGTCTAAGGGTGTACAATAATAGATATAGAACACTTTTTATGTCTCATCGTTAATTGGCAAAATCAAGTGTCCAAAAAAAGGAAATTCCAAGGATAAGCACATTTCCTACCTAAATTCTTAGAATTCCCTTGAAAGTAGTGTCCATTTCACCTTAAACTCTAGCAAATTCGTATTGTACCTACTAACAGGAATCTCATCGTAAAACAATCGTTTTTCCAGTAAATTCAATAAGACTTATATTTAAACAGTACGTTGACGAGTTGTGATTTAGTCGTTTAGACACTTTACTATAAACAGCTACAAGCAACAAATTTTGGTTAGTCCTCTTGGTTTTCAACTATCATGTTTCACGTTCGAACCCTGTTGCATTTAATTTTGGGTTTATGCAACATTTTAGCATTACTAGTTGTCACACGGAGTTCTGTCTGAAACCACTGATACATCTACATTTCATTACTGATTCGAACTCATATTTGCCTAACTACAGTGAACTTGAGGAATTTATGTGGATAACCAAGTAGTCCTGTAGTTCTGCGTTCAGAGACCGATATAGTTATGAAAGCATAGGAGAAATTCTATAGAATCCTATTAATCACGTTAAAACCTGATTTTGTGTCGATTCAGTAACTATTGTTGACTAAATGAATCAGAATATTTCTTCTTATCGCATTCTTTTGTCCTTAAGTCAACCATGAGGTGTGTTTGTACGTACAGATTTTATTTAAAAGTCTCAAATCATCCTAACCGATTTGGTCTTGTGTGCTGTTACGGGTATGAAGGAGGAGGTCACTTCCCGGCTGCCCACACCGTGGAATGGTGTTTCTTGGGAAACCTGAAAAAGAAGTTGGATTCGTGTTGGTCTTAGACACCTGGAAGCTTGACCACAGAGCCCAAGGGACAACTGCTTGAGGCCGGTCACACACGGACATTTTTTGAGAAGTTCTAGAGGTGTTAGCTCCGCCAGAGACGGAAATCCGTGAGGTAAGGTGAGGTGTGACATTTTTAGGGTCGACATTTTCTAACCCCTTCCTTCCTTGTGAGATGGCGACATTGCTGCAGATGCTGGTTGTCCGAGGGAAACACCTTACTGCTGTCACATCTCTCTACAGTCAGCATTACGACTTCGCTTTCAGACACCGAGATGCTGCTTTTAGTCTCATTGTTCTCCAGTCAACCTGCTTGGCATGGTAGAACCGTCAGGAACATATGTTGCAGCCAATATAGCTGGGTTAAGTCACCACGATAGACAAGTTTGACCACCACGTCAAGATGGCAGCTGCGGTCGAACCTTATCATAATCAATAATAATTAGTTTATTATAATGTTTGTTACTCCCTTTATATACGGTGTTTTGAGTGGAGTGTCTTCTTCTATCTATGTTCAACGTGTTAGTTACTATTTAACTACTTTTGAACGAGCACAATTCAATGGTTGATTGAAAAAATAATTTTTTGGTCTACCCTATTCCTTGTGAAAATTCTTTTCATTTTTGTAGAATATCCTCAAACATGTAATGTCAATACAACAAAATCCCTTGTTTTACCAAATCGTCCTGTTGGCAGTATATCCTATCCTCGATCAGCAGCAGCAGCAGCAGCAGCACGTTTAGGAACAGTATTTCAAAGCAATTTAACTGTTCCAACTATAGTTGAAGAAGAAGAAGAATATTCAGTAGATTCTGAAGGACGACTTTCATATTTACCTGGAAATAAAGCAGAACACCAACTTATTGATAATATGTTAGAATCTAGAACTAATTTTCTTAATAATAATAATAATAATAATAATAATAATAATAATAATACTGATATGGATATTAATGAAATAATCGAAGAAGATTATCCACTTCTACGCAAAGATTATGTTTTGGAGTAAGTCTTACTATTATTTATAATGTTCCTTGTATGTCAAGTTGTCGAAAATAATAACATTTAAATTTCTTCGGATGTAGGTTTCTCAGTGGACTGAGTCATGTTGGTAGATGTAGACTACCTGGTTGGGGTCAGCGAGACGAAAATCATCAATGGTTAGAGACCTTGAACGACATGGCTCAAAGTCGTTTGCAATGGCGTAGGTGCATCCACTCTTTGAGCTCTCTCAAATCCTAATCTTTGGATTAGCCAGCACATCTACCTTTGTCTTTCTAACCTTATCTCACTGAATTATATTTTTTGAATAATATCTTAAACCCTAGTCTTCTTTATTATAACATTAATACCTCTACTATCTTTATCACTATGGGATTTGATTTGACATTTGCGTCTCTGTGCTAATAATGTGGTATGGCAACATGAACTTATTTACATACGTACGAAGTTCTACGTTGCAACTGACTGACTGAGGTTTCCCATATGATGACGGTCATCAACAAAGTATATGTGTCTTATCTTAAGCGAACTTGTGTTCTAAAAGAGTTTTAGAAGATATACGCCGCCAATTTCTCAACTTCATAGTTGCGTTTCAAATAGTTTATTGACCATTAAGTTGTTAACTCAAGTTCTACTTCACTTGGTACGTTCTTGTTACACAAAATATATGGCTCCAAGCTGCTTACTGAACTTGTACCTTATTTTGTTGAGTCGTAAACAAAAGGAAACTCTCCTTAATCAGCGAGTTCACATCGTTCACATCAACAATCACTAACTAACCTAAATCAACTTATACTAAATCTTTGTGTGGTTACTCTATGCTTTCATTCTTACTTTTATGCTAAAGATTCTTCGTCAGAATAAGTGATAGCTGGACATGTGCAACACATGTTTTATACACTTCTTTGGATGAAGATTTAAAGCCTGGTCAACTAATCTACCATTTTTCTCTTGTATCCTATGGCTAATCTTCATTATTTAATTTTTAATTCTGGCATATACAATTAGTGATTCATGACAAACGTGGTGTTTACTCTGCTATATTTGTTGTGATGCCTTTTACTTACTACTATGGAGCTATTTATATGCAACCAGAATTATAACGACTTCAATTAAGTCATTTACAGCTACTAATACGATCAAGAATCAATTAATTCCAATCGATATTTCTCCTCCATGGCTTTTCACCTTACTATTTTCATACCACTCGGTTCCATTGTGAATTAGTACCTTGTGGATTGGTACTTATTCATCCTACATCCTAAGTTGTCTATCACTGACTGCAACAATTTTCCAATTAAATCATCTACTTTCCCAAATAGCTTATGTGTGTCTAAAAATCTGACAACTCATCCCTTCAGCACATCTAAAATATTTTAATTATCAAACTTTTCAGACTGTGATTACTACTACGTTAAACTAGTAGTATTCATTACTCCTTATCATGGTGATAATTATGTTATTACTTGAGGTTTCACAATATCTCTCAACTTTCCCTTAACTTCTCTCTTCGTGCTTAATTCAAGTGTTGCAGTTTGAATCGGTTCCAAAAGTACATTTTTATTATCGATATGATTACTGTATTTATTTACTCTACTTATCTCTTCTTTCTATAACCCCTTTTTTACTAGTTTGTGTGTATGTGTGCTTTTCATCAATATTTTCTTATTTCATCCCATTGTGATTTAGTTTGATAGTATTCCACTGTCATGAGGTATGAATGGTATTCTTGTTCTCTTTTCAAATCATTCATGTCGTTTGACTCATTGAATTCGATCAATAATTAGGTATATATTATTATTATTATTATTGACACCCGAGTGAGCAACGCTGTTATTAGGAATCGGGTGCTAGGTAAGAATGGCAGATCAATAGACGCAGTAGTGACACTTCATCAGTTGAGGTGGTTGGGACATGTGTTACGTATGCCCAACAACCGACTGCCTCGACGAGCTTTGTTTTGTAGTGTAGGAATAGGTTGGAAGAAAGCTAGGGGCGGCCGAACCAAAAATCCATGAAATCATTGACGAGTGGACTTAGCCATGTCGGTAATTGTCGACTACCTGGTTGGGGTCCGCGAGATGATAATAATCGATGGTTAGAGACCCTGAATGACATGGCTCAAAACCGTTTGTAATGGCACCGTTGCATTTATTCTTTGTGTTCTCTCAAATCCTAATCTTCTGGATTCTTCAACACCTCTAGTTTTGACTTTCTAAACTTTTCTCACTGAATCACATACTTCGTGAATAATATCTTCTAATCCTAACCTCTCCGATTACTCCTAATGCCTTTACTACCTCTTCTACTATTGGATTTGAATTGACAATGTCGTCTCAGTGCTGATGTAGTATGGCGACATGAACTGATGTACTTACGTACAAAGTTCTACGTTGCATCTGACTCTGACCTCATCACCTCTCTCTTTCTAAACTTACCTCACTGAATTATACTTCTTAAATAACATCTCTCCGATTAATTCTAATACTGACTGATTGAGTGAAGGTATTGTAGACTTAGTATCGTTTAAAACTTGAATATTACTTTGTCTAATTCCTTCACATTTTTGTCTTTTTACTGGCCATTTGTATGCTGTTTTGGTACTTGTCGTAAGAACGTTGTCGCCAATGTACAGTGTTGATACGCCATTTGATGCACATGTACATGTTCTTCGCTGAACATTTTTTTTACTATTATAACATGTGTAACTAAATCAAAACAAATGAATGACCTTAGTTTGCAGTTCTGTTAGCTGTGCACCTGTAGAAACGATGTGATTAATTAGTAGTTGAGGCGGTTAGTCGATTATAGGTCCACATCCCAATCCATCTACTTTTATCGGAGCGGAAAAATTGTATCTATCTTTCTAACCTTATCTCACTGAATTATACTTCTTGAATAATATCTTCGAACCCCTAGTCTTCTTCATTGCCATTAATACCTCTACTATCTTAATCAATATGGGATTTGATTTGACATTTGCGTCTGTGTGCTAATGTGGTATGGCAATATGAACTTATGTACATACGTATGAATTTGTACGTTGCAACTGACTGATTATTATTATTATTATTATCAAAATAAATTGAAATTGAAATTCTTATTCATTTCTTAATTTTTTGTTTGTTTTGTTTTTTTCCACCGTATAAATTTGATAATTCATTACAGAAAAGATCAAACATCTGTCCAATCAATCAATAATGTATTACGCATCAATGCAATCAATAATCATGAATCTACTACTAGTTCAAATGAATTACACTTATCTAATCTTCCATTAACAACAACAACTAATCGTTCTATTCGTGGCCTACCTAAACCCGATGTAATTCGTTGGCTTGAAAATACTTGTGATGCTACTATGAATAATAATTATAAAGTTGAAAATAAATCTAATTCATCACATCTTTCATCCACTGTATCATTGAATCAATCAGATCTAAATACAGAGAATCATCAAACAATTCATGAGGTACCTGATAAAATATCTCTAAATATCATTGAATCTCCTTCAATGAATAAATCTCAAGAATCGATAAATAGTAAAGATTCCATAGTGTTAATTCGTTTAGTCAATACTAAACGTGGTGAAAATTTAGGCATACAAATTAAACCGGTTTTTTCGGATATTTTAAATGTTAACAATGATAATTGTTCAGATGACAATAGCGGATCAAGAATGTAAGTGTCCAAAATTAATATTTACCTTATAGAGTAACGTTTGGGTGTTGAGCACTAGGTTCCTGATTTCAAAATAATTTCAGTTTTAACAATCTAGGTTGTATCACTGTTAGGATATTCATCTAATATCCTAAGAGAATTATTGGTCGGTTCCTATTGGTTAATTCCTACTGGTCAATTTTATGGTCGTCCTAGATATCAATGTCACGTGCTCAAATGTTGTTTCTCTTTGGTTGTCCTGACTATCAATGTCACTTCAAATGTTGCTTCTTATTGGTCGTCTTAACTGTCAATGTCACAGACTTCGATGCTGTATCCTATTCGACCAAAATGTATAAATACGCATTATCTGCAACGTTTTATGACCAGGACCAGGACCCAGTCCCGGATCCCTAGTCCGAGATCCTGATCCTCTTCTGGACTCGGACCTCATACTTTCTGGATGCTTGTAGAATACAGGTTCTACTTCATATCAAGTCTTCTCATTCTTACTCAATATGGTGGTTGGGATAATCGGATTTGAGTAGCATGTTGTGTCTCCGGATCCTCGATTCTCGCTCTCGTTTTCCGAATAGGTAAACTTGTAATAGTTCAAGTATATCAAGTTGACGTGTTTACGTGCAGGCGTAACAATCACTCTGGCTGAAATCTCAGTATGTAGACTTGTTCTTGCTAAATAAGTTCTTAGTTCATCTATAAATTGTTATCTCTTAAATCCTCCATAGTTAACATCATTTTTCTCATTACTAGTTAAACTATATTTTAGATTTATATATTTTCTATTATGATTGACAAGTATAGTTGCACTTTTTTTTAAAAATTTGATTAATTTCAATTATATAATACAATTATTATTCATTTCCTTAACCTTATCTAGTAATTCTCAATTAGATGAACAGAATACATTTTGACTTGACCTTGATTATGATTTAAGGTTAAGTATTTGAATTCATAACAAACAGACTTTTTTAAGTGTATCAATCAGATAAAACCAATCAGTTTTCCTTCGTTCAACATACAACAAGATAAAGAATGTTATAAACATATGAGAATGTATACATGTATAGCTAGTTAAATATAGAAAGCTCAACTAAATACATTTATTAACTGATTTATAATTTACTAAAAACATTCTGTGAGTAAAATTCACTTTTGACTTTGGAAGCTGAAAATAATTAACTACTCATTGAAATCATGAATCGATCAATGTTAGTTAGATCACCATTAGAAACCTGGAAGCACTGAACGGCCGTTTCGTCCTGGTATGGGACTCATCAGCAGTGAGCGACCACGACTCCTACACCTCGCAGGATTCGAACCGAGGATCTTCGGTCTTGCGTGAGAACAACTAACCTCTGGACCACTGAGCCGGTATATAACACTGTTAATGTCTAACTTCGATCAATTCACGATCTTGCGCAACCTCATACACTTTTTTCGGTAGTTTCGATGAGTAACTTATGATTTTCACAACCCCTAATGCAATTACCTATGCTCACTGGTGACTAGCTCTGTGGGGGATCTTCTCTGAGTTCTAGTCAGAAGTCGTAACCAGTGAAGTTCAACCTGTTTGGATGTAGACAGTAACTACCGAAGGCAGTGTATGAGGTTGCACAATACCGTGAATTGACCGAAGTGGTCCAGAGCGTAGTCGTTCTCACGCAAGACCGAAGATCCTCGGTTCGAATCCTGCAAGGTGCAAGAGTCGTGGTTGCTCACTGCTGATGAGTCCCATACCAGGACGAAACGGCCGTTCAGTGCTTCCAGGTTTCTAATGGTGATCTAACACTGATCGATTTATGATTTCACTGAGTAACTTAACATTCTTCACAACCCGATGATGCAATTAAACTATTCATCAAAAATAATAGTAGTTTATATCATAAACGATTAACTTTTTTTGTGAGAATTAATCAATTATAATAATGAAATAAATTTACTGTTTTTATGTTCATAAACTATGCGAGAGAATTAACTAAATGATAATCTTAGTTAATGTAAAGAAAATTCGATTAAGTTTTTAGTGTTTAATACATATATTGAATCGTTCATTGAGAATATGTATTCAACTCATTTCTTACTTTTTGGTTGTTGTATCTATCCACCTATCTATCTATCGTAAATCAATTTTTTTTGGAATTAGCATTAATTGTACACACATTGAATTAACGTTTCTTTTTTTCCTTCATTGATTATTGTTGTTTAAACTCATTCGCAGATTCATAATTTTGTTTCCTGAAAACTGATTGTCCTGCTGGTTTTTTTATTTTATTTTTTCAATTACGCATTTATTATTATTATTATTATTCTTAAAATAATTTAATGATTTCCTAATTTTATGATGATCAATAAAATTATTCTTTCTATTAAAAAAAAATGAAAAAAGGATAGTGAAATTGATTTCGAAAGGGAAAGAAAATACACAATCACAATAAATATATATTATCTAATTTCCTGTACTTTTTTCATGTGTAAATGATGAAACGTTTGGAATGTTTAGAGGAATTTATTCGACTAGAAATCGTTTTTTTATCCCATCTTGTTTATAAATTGAATATTTTTTTTGAAAAAAAATGTAATTTATGTAATTAGCTAATTAAATTGCCAATTGAAATCAGATTGAGATTATTATTTTAGGGCAGAGTTTTGGAGGTTTGTGTTTTTACACATTTGAAATCATCAATCGATCAGTGTTAGATCAACATTAGAAACCTGGAAGCACTGAAAGATGGCCGATTCGTCCTGGTATGGGAGGCAGTCCTCATCCACGAATCCTGCTCCCCGCAGGATTCGAACCCGGGACCTTCGGCATTGTAGGCGAACGCCTGACCATCGGATCACTGGGCCGGCATCCAACGGTGTTAATGTCCAACTCTGATTGATCTAGGGATTTTGTCTTTGGTAGTTACTGCCTACACCCGATAGGGTTGAACTCCATTGGTCACGTCTTCTCAACTAGAACTCCTAGAATTTCCTCACGAAGCTAGTCACTAGTGAGCACTGTTACGATATTTTGAGGCACAGTTTTGGAGGTTTGCGATTTTTTACACATTTGAAATCATCCATCAATCATTGCTAGACCACCATTAGAAACCTCGAGGCACTGAAACACGGCCGTTTCGTCTTGGTTTGGGACTCATCGGCAGTGCTCATCCACGACTCCTGCTCCTCGCACGATAGTGAAGGTCCCAGGTTCGAGTCCTGCGAGAAGCAGGAGTCGTGGATGCGCACTGTTGATGAGTCCCATACCAGGACGAAACGGCCGTCTTTCAGTGCTTCCAGGTTTCTAATGGTGGTCTAACAATGATTGATTGATGAGATTATTATATTAGTTGTTGGTCTTATTTTGATTTTGTAGTTGAAACACTAGAGAACAAACTACTTAGTTCACGTTCTCTACGCTTATTGTGACCAGTGGTTACAGAATTTGAGTGACATAGTATCTCAGATGCATCTGATCTTTGTCCAAGATTCAAGGTTTCTTGTTGATTACCTCCAGTCATCTTACATATAAATATATAGTGCACCCAATGTCGAGTTCCTTAGACGACTAGAGGCCACATCACAACTTGATCAACATTAGGAAAAAAATTGACACATATTACACTAGTCACCATTGGTCGATCAATGTCTTGTGATGCAAAACATCTAATTCATTATATTATAATCGTTTGTTACTCATACATAGCCAAGTACATTCGGAAATGTTTTAAATCCAGTTTTCAAAATTTAAACATCAGTCAGTCAGTTACAATTGTAGAACTTCGTACGTAAGTACATCAGTTCATGTTGCCATATCACATTAGCACAGAGACGCAAATCCCATAGTGGTAGAGATAGTAGATTGAAACGTAGTTAATAAAAGTCAAAGAAACATCTTTCACCCGTAAATTAAGACTTTGTAAAGTGTATATTATCGAATTTACATTGACTTCTTCAACGCAACATCTCATTACTTTTAAGTAAGCAATGCTGTCGTTAGGAAACGAGTACTAGGTAAGGATGGCAGATCAATAGATGAAGTGCTGAAACTTCTTCAGTTGAGGTGGTTGGGACATGGGCTGTGTATGCCTAACCACCGACTGCCTCGTCGAGCTATGTTTTGTGGTGTAGGAGTAGGTTGGAAGAAAGCTAGAGGCGGCCAGA